GACAAGACCCTGTGTATGGTGGGGAGTTTCCACAGATTGTGTGGTGACTACTCTCTCCCCTGCTGGGCTACTTACACTCAGGACGTTTTGCTGCTCTGTAGGAGTAAATGCCATGGATGGGGAGATAGAACACACAGCTTGTTTTATTCTTTCAGAGTCTCCTATTGATCTGTTTTCAACTGAACAATTCTGTACACAGGAGACAGTGAGAGCAGTAGCCCTGTAGGATAAGAACTGGATCACAAGGTTAGTTCTAGCCCACCAGTCACTAATCAGAGGAAAGATGAGACGTTCTACCCTAAAAGATTTCCAGACTTGGAAACCCTATACAGGGTTGCTATGAGTCAGAACCAAGTCAAGGTAACTTAACAACAACAATAAGAAACATATTCAGGTTTCCTGGATGGTACAAATGATGAATTGCTCCACTACTAATCTAAAGGTTGATGGTTTGAGTCCACTCAGAGGCACTTTGGAAAGAGAAAGTCCTAGTGATTTACTTTCTAAAGATTACAGCCATTGAAAATGCTATGGTGTGCAGTTTCACTTTAACACGTATCAGGGAGCTTCAAAAAGTTCATGGAGAAATGCCATTATCTTTCAATTCCCTTTGTCCACAAACTTTTTGAAATCCTCTCATATGGTGTCGCCATGAGTTGGAATTGACTCGATGACAACTGGTGTTCCTCTTCCCCCTCCCGCCCTGTTTTGGAGATTGCAAAAATGGCCGGAAGGTCATAACTGACTGCTTCTGGCTTCATAAGAAGGTAGAAGAATGAAATTCAAAATCAGCTCAAGGCCAAATTCTATGAAGCGGAGGTCAGACATGCCTCTACCCTACAGCCTTCATGACCCTATTCTAACACCAACCATCCCTCATAAAGTACTCAGTTTTACATCTGGGTTCGATGATTCATTGCAATAGTCACACAGAACTCACAGGCAATCATGATTATGGGGGTCATTAGGGAAGTGAACAGGTACAATTCAGGATTAGAAGCAACTCAGATGCAGCAGTTCTCCAGTCTGGAACGCCTCTTCTCTGCCGTACTGCAGACAGGCCTCTTTCTTGTCTTCAGCCTCTCAGCTATGTAGCTCTGAGGCAACTGCCCTGCTGGGGCAAGTGTAACCAAGCTCCATTAGCCAGCCTCCTGCCCATAAACACTCAGCTTTACTTGATCCATGGGCCTAGAAACATGCAGCTAATCTGCCATTCTATGTTGCCGCCTCAGCTGTTGCTACTTTTGCAGGTAAGGATCTCACACCCCACGCATGTGCTTCTTTCTTGATGGTTCTGGAGTCACCTGTTCCTGTTTTTGAGATGGCATCTTTTAAATTCAGTACAATGACAAAACGAACCAATCCCAGTGTTAGAGCCCTGTACACCCTATTTGGATGGCCCCATCCAGTCATTTGGTGAGGGTTAAGACTTTGGATAGAAAAACCATATCAAGTAAAATTGAAGGTACCACAGAGGCATATTTAATGTCACAACTGGGAGAGGGCTGCTACTGGCATCTTATTGGCAGAGGCCAGTGATACTGCTAAGCATCCTACAATGCACCGAACAGGGCCCCACAACAAAATGTCAGTAGTGCTGAGACTGAGAAACCCTGGTGCATTCTTCATACATACACATCCAGACATCCTCCAAAGGGCTATTATCAATGGCCAGAAAGGGCAGAATCTTACATACTCCTTGCACCTGCTCCTCACAGTCACTAGTAATTCAGAAATTTCTTTAGTCATGAAGACTCTAAGGAATTATATATTTATCTGGAAGAGTAAGGAACAAATACCACCTTAACCTTCTAAAACCTCATTATCATTAGGTATAGAGCAAACTTTTAACTGTAAGTAAAAAGGAAAGTGCTGATTCTTTAAAGTAAATGGGACCAAAAGGCCCATGAATAATAATAATAATAAACTTGGTTAATAGAGTATGACCAAAGAATAATGCACTTGGATTCTATGTGGGGAAATTAAAGTACATGCTATGAATTGGTATTAAGGAAATTGCATGAAAAGTTAGTCTTAAAGCACTAGGAGTCTGAAGAAAGAGCCACAGGTACACAATATATCACATTCAGTCTTTATCTCTCTTCTTTTTTTTGTCACACTTCTTTCACCTTGGATAACCCAGAAGCTCAAGACTTGGAACTTTTAGGAATGGTAAAATATCCCACTATCCATACTTATTTTCATCTACAGACCTGATTTTTATTGCCAGGAGTTTTTTATGTTTTACGGAATTAGTTTCAAACCTCAGCTTGGCTTACTTATTTTGGGATAGAGACTATGTTTAATAATTTCAACCATAATTCACTTTATACAAAATATGCCCCTGAAAAGTTATACCTAAATTGAATTTTTATAAATAAACTAGGATTTTTAAATCACAAGGGAAACTTGCCATTTAAGGGGCATTTGAGGCTGAATGATTTTTTTTCTTAAGAGAAAAGGACCTTTTCGCAAAGTGAATCAGAACTCTTTAATTTATCCCGAGTCTATAAATTCCAAGTTTTATATGTTGTCCAAGAGTCCAGTCCAGTACCATATATGAAGTTAATATTTAAAATATCAACTAAGAATTTGGAAGTAGTTTGAAAGTTGTAAAGAGTTTTCAAGATATTCTAAGTGTGTGAAAACTTTAACTATCAGCACGGATTTGTTGACACTTGTTTTGGGTGATGAGAAAGGGACCAGATGCTAGATCGATGTAAAAATGAGTAAGTAGGATTGCTGAGCTGATGGACTGCTTTTCCTCAAAATAAGGTGAACAGAGTGGAAAAGAGAGACTGTATTAAGAACATGGATTCAGGAACCACATCACCTATGTTCTTTACAACCCTGAATAATGTGGCCTTAAACAGTTGACACAGCTTTGTTGGGTCTATTTGGAAAATTAAATCAGATATATATGAGCTAATCTGGGGAGAGAACTCAGGTCACTTTTGAATCTTGGACGCTACACGGAGCTATCCCGGGCTAGGTACTAAGAAGAAGTATATTTTTTCTTTCTTTCCTTGTAGGGGCATGACTGGGTCTGCCTAGGCTGTGGTGGTGGTGGTTATGTGCCATGAAGTCGGTTCCGACTCACAGTGACCCTGTATAGGTTTTCCAAGGCTGTAAATCTTTACAAGAGCAGAAAGCCTTAATCTTGCTCCTGTGGATTGACTGGTAGTCTCAAACTGCTGGCCTTGAGGTTAGCAGGCCATTTGTAACCACTACACTAGCTGCCCAGTCCTGGTGTGGCGCTGTGGGTTAATGCACTGGACTGCAAAGTCGCTTGAATTGCAAGGTCAGTGGTTCAAGCTCACTAGTCACTCCTTGGAAACCCTATACATGTTGCCAAACCGAAAGAGGGCTTGCCTCCTGCCATTGTAGTCAATTACAGTGACAGGGTGAGATCCAATCCAAACTTTATTAACAGAAAGCCAGCAGTCTGGAGGACGGAGAGAATAATTTCTCAGGAAAGTCCTGTCCATTTTGAAGAGCCGGCACATTATATAGGCACACTACGCTATCAGAGCTCCTTTATGGTCTCTGCTTAATTCCTGATATAACTATCTGGGTGGGTTTAAGCACATCCCATTCCCCTTGTGTAAGGAGCTCTGGTAGCGTAGTGGTTACGAATCGGGCTGCGAACAGCAAGCTCAGCAGTTCGAAACTACCAGCTGTTCCGTGGGAGAAAGAGGAGGCTTTCTACTCCCATAAAGATTTATAGCCTCGGAAACGCTGTACGGGGTCACTATGAGTCGGAACCAACTCCACGGCAAACAACAATTCCCCACGGGCTAATGTGTCAGACTACAAGGTCCGTGGTTCAAGCTCATCAACTGCTCCTTGGAAACCCTATACAGGGTCACTATGGGTAGGAATCAACTCGGCAGCACTTAACAACATTCTTGCTGTCCTGTCTTCTTCCTTCCTTCTTCTAGGACCACGAGGTAATTCCAGCCTTTTTAACCCCTTCCTTCCATCACTCCTTGTATATCTTTAGTATTATCTTGTCCACTCACCTTAACATTCTAATCTCACTTGCTCAGCTGAGTAGACAAGTGGTTTATCATTTGAGAAACATTTGTATATCCTCATTTTCAAGCTCCTCACTTGAGACTCAATGATTAAACCAACTCCATTTTGTTTTAGGTCAGTAGATCCATGCTATCATATAGGGTCACTATGGGTTGGAACCAACTCGATGGCACTTAACAAGATGCTAGCTGCGGTAAAAGGAGGCTCAGCGAAAAGGTCAGTGATTTGCACACGGGTTGGTGGACATTTCTTGGGAAGGGAAGCTTATCCCAGTGGAAATGACGCCTTCCATCTGGTTGGGCACTGGGTCACCAAGGCAGAAGAGCTCAGCCTCGGACTCTGGGTTCCACCACTGAGCCTTGGCCCACTAACAGAACAGTCCCAGAAGCGGTGGAGGAGTGGTTAGAATCGGGCTGCGAACTTCAAGATCAGCCTGTTAGAAACTACCAGCTGTTGCGGGGGAGAAAGATGAGACCTTCTGCTCCCGTAAAGATTTACAGCTTTGGAAACCCTGTTCAGGGTCGCTATGGGTCGGAACCGACTCCACGGCACACCACCACCACCAGAGGCCCAGGGGTTGGCGGCAGACAGTCACAAGAAGCTTCCGGGAGAAAAGAGCGCCTTGACTGGAGGCTTTTCATTATAGGTAACACTAGCCCTTGTTAATGACACAAATACTGGAACGCGCACACTTTGTGCTGGACTGCCGGTTTGCTCTGAGAAATCAGACTAGGCCTGGACTTCCGGATGAGAGGTATTAAGGAGTATCCACACTTTACGCAGCCAGGACAGGAGGAAGGGCTAGGAGAAGCGGAGACTTTCACCCCGCCTCTCATTTCCCGGGCTCACCTTCTAAACCCCGCCCTTTGGGGGGCGTTCCCGGTGCGCCGTAAAATAGGGACCGTTCTTTGCTCCATAACAGCCCGCCTCCGTCATTACGGCAGGCCGCATTCTACGCCTCCAATATGGCGCCCCCCATGTAAACAGTACCCGTGGTTTCTACCCCGGTTGACGGAGGGCAGTACTGAGCTGGGGCTGTTGTATATCTAGTCTGAGCTACAGAAAGCCGTTGTTCATTTCAGGCTACGCTTTCAAGAAATCATCCTCTTGAGGGTCAAGAGTCGCCGCTTTCTTCTAGTCCCAGCAAGTTTCTCCTCTGCCCCTGATTTGATCACCGCACCACTGCCGTACTCCTCCGGTCCCTGATTCTCCTAGACTCAAACTATGAGCCTCCGGCGGCTGCTGTTATGCTTTCCTCGCTATCTCGGATCTTCGAATTCCCCTCGTCGCCGGGGGTGGTCCCCGTGCTTCCACACTAGCTCCTGGCATGGCCAGTCCTCCAAGTCGCCGGCCCATTGGAACCAGGTGGTATCAGAGGCAGAGAAGATCGTGGGCTATCCCACGTCCTTTATGAGCCTCCGCTGCCTGCTGAGCGACGAGCTCAGCAACATTGCAATGCAGGTGCGGAAGCTGGTGGGAACTCGGCACCCTCTGCTTACCACAGCCAGGTGAGCTACTCCGTTTCCTGTCAACACACTCGCACCGTGTTGTATCCTTTTTCCTGGCCAGCACTCTCCTCGGGATTCTCTGACCAGAGCCCGGCGTATCTTTTTAACCCCTTCCTTCCATCACTCTTCGTATATCTTCAGTGTTATCTTGTCCACTCACCTGAACATTCTAATCTCACTTGCTCAGCTGAGTGGACAAGTGGTTTATCATTTGAGAAACATTTGTATATCCTCGTGATTTTGCTTCGTAACCGTTGAGGGTAAAAGTCCTCAGTGATCTGTGGAGAAACTGAGCACATTCTAGCAATGGCCTTTTAGAAGTGGAATGAATCTATTTTAGGTCCCACACTCCTGGAGAGTTTGTCTCCAAAAAGAGCGGGGAGAAGGAGATAGGCCAACTGTAAAGAGTTCTTTGAAGTATGAATTTAACCAATTAGTGGTCATTATCCTCTTGGGATCTTTACCACTTACACAGAACTGCTGGTAATTTTTAAAGATCAGAACTTTTGCTTACAGTTAAAAAACAAATTAACTTTTTATTTGAACGTAAGTTCAAACTTAGAAAAGTTGCAAGATAGAACACATTTCTATACCCTTTTTTCAGATTCACCTATTTTAAACATAATTATATTGTGTGGCTAAGTGCTCTTGAGGCAGTTCAAACAACAGCACAAAACAGCCAGGTCCTGTGCCGTCCTCATAGTGATTCTTACGTTTGAGCCCATTGTTGTAGCCACTGTGCCAGTCCATCTCATTAGAGAGCTTCCTCTTTTTCTCTGACCTTCTACTTTACCATACATGGGACTGGCCCCTCCTGATAACATGACCAAAGTACATGAACTGAAGTCTTACCGTCCTCATGATAAGTACTTCATAGTATTTCTTCCAAGACAGATGGTTGATTCTTCTGGCAGTTCAACGTATATTCTTCGCCAACACCATCATTCAAATGAATCCATTATTCTTTCCTGCTTTCAAATGCATGTGAGCCAATTGAAAAAACCATGGCTTGGGTCAGGTGCACCATAAACCTCAAAATGACATCTTTGAATTTTTATGTTTTATAGATGTTTTTAAGGAGCTCTGGTAGCATAGGGGTTACGAGTTGGGCTGCTAACCTCAAGGTCAGCATTTAGAAACTGCCAGTGGTTCCGTGGGAGAAAGATGAAGCTTTCTCTTCTGTAAAGATATACAGCCTTGGAAACCCTATGCAGGGTGGTTGTGAGTCAGAACCAACTCCACAGCACACCACCATCAACCACCGTAGGGGTCTTTTGCAGCAGATATACCAGTGTTTGATTTCTTGACTACTGCTTCCATGGACATTGACTGTGGATCCAAGTAAAATGAAATCTCTGACCACTTCACATTTTCTGCAGTTAAAATTATGTTATTTATTGGTCCAGTTGTGAGGACTTTTTGTTTTCTTCCTGCTAAGTTTTAATCCATACTGAAGGTGTAATCCATACTGAAGATGTTTGCTTTATGTTAAGGTATAATCCATACTGTGTATTGATGTATGCAAACTACCCTCTAATGATTCTTAGAAAAATTGTAAATATACACACCTATACGTATGTAAATAGTATATGTGTATTGTATTTATATATAAATATACATATATGTATGTATAGTGTGGCACTGGACTGCAAGGCCAACTTGAACCACAATGTCGGCAGTTCAAACTCACCACTCCTTGGAAACCCTATACAGATCACTATGAGTTGGAACCCACTTGACAGCACTTAAAAACAAAAACTATGTATGGTTTCACAAACTTTTTGAAGCCCCCTTGTATACATATATATAACTTAGGATATGCACTGGACCGCACGGTCATTTGGACTGCAAGGTCAGGTGCTCAAACTCACCAGCCGCTCCTTGGAAACCCTATACAGGATCACTTTGAGTTGGAACTACCTCGATGACATTCAACAACAACAACATTGTCTTTTATAGCATTTTTCTTCCTCTAATACAGGATATAGGAGTCCTGGTGTGACGCTGTAAGATAAGCACTGGACTGTTAACCCCAAGGTTGGCAGTTCAAACCCACCAGCGGCTCTTCAGAAATCATATATCAGGTCACTGTAAGTTGGAACCAGTCTGATGGCACTTGACAACAACTGTACAGCATACAGCTTAGGCTCAGGTGTTGCATTTGGTTGTTGTGTCACTTTGTTGTTGTTGTTGTTGTTGTTAAGTGCTTCAAGTCAGTTCTAGCTCATAGTGAATCTGTATAGGGTTTCCAAGGAGTGACTGGTGCATTTGAAATGCCAACCTTGTAGCTAGCAGTCCAGTGCTTATCCTACAGCATCATACCGTGCCTTCTAGTCACACACTGGACCACTACTTACAAGGTTGGCGGTTCACACCCACCAGCTGCTCCTTGGAAACCCTATACAGGTTCGCTGTGAGTCAGAACCGACTCGACAGTACTTAATAACAACAACAAATATACAAAGTGTAAATCTAGAAAAATTGGAAGTCATCAAAAATGAAATGGAATGCATAAAAATAGATAACCTAGGCATTTGTTGTTAAGTGTCATTGAGTCGGTTCGGACCCATAGTGACCATGTGTAGGGTTTCTGAGGAGCAGCTGGTGAGATTGAACCGCCAATCAAACGGCTTTGCAGTCTGGCACATTAACCCACAGCGCCGTACACGGACTCCATTAGTGAGCTGAAATGGACTGCTATTAGCCATTTTGAATCACATAATCATATAGTTTACTATGCTGGGAATGACAAACTGAAGAGAAGTGGCGTCACATTCATGGCCAAAAAGAGCATTTCACAGAATATCTTGAAGTGTAGTGCTGTCAATGAAAAGATAATATCCATATTAATATCCAAATGTCTACAAGGAAGACCAGTTAATACCACTATTATTCAAATTTATATACCAATCACTGAAGACCAGGTAGCATAGGTACACATAGCCTCAAGGTCAGCAGTTCAAATCCATTAGTCTCTCCATGGAAGAATGATAAGGCTTTCTACTTCCATAAAGATTTATAGCCTTAGAAACCCTATAAAGGGTCCCTATGAGTTGGAACTGACTCAGTGACACACAGCAGCAGTAGCAATAGCACTAACGCCAGTGATGATGAAATTGAAGAATTCTACCAACTTCTTCACCCTGAAAGTGATCAAATATGCAGTCAAAATGCATTGATAATAGCTGGTGATTGGAATGTGAAAGTTGGAAACAAAGAAGAAGGGTTGGTAGGTGGAAAATATGGCCTTGATGATAGAAACAATGCTGGGGACTGCATGATAGAAATTTGCAAGATCAAGTACTTATTCCTTGCAATTACCTTTTTTCAGCAGCACAAACAGGTGACTATACATGAGGGCCTCACCAGATGGAATACAAAGGAATCAAGTCGACTACATCTCTGGGAAGAGACGATGGAGAAGTTCAATATCTTCAGTTAAAACAAGGCCAGGGGCAGATTGTAGAACAGACCATCAATTGCTCATATGCAAGTTCAGGTTGAAGCTGAAGAAAATTAAAACAAGTCCATGAGAGCTAAAAAAAATAACCTTGAATATATCCCATCGGAATTTAGAGACCATCTCAAGAACAAATTTAATGCACTAGACAGCAATGACCAAAGAAAAGAATTGTGAGATGACATCAAGGACATCATACATGAAGAAAACAAAAGGCCATTAAAAAGACAGGAAACAAAGTGTGAGGTTTAGGTTCTGTGTCAGCTTGATTGAATCAGAAACCCCAGTTTGACAGTTGCTAGTTAACAATATGATTGACTATAAGCAGTTGATAGATAACTCTGTGATGATTGGCTATGAACAGCCAATCAATTGAAAGGATGCCTTTATGGGGGGTATGGCCTGCTCCCAATATAATGGACATGCAGGAAAGACTCACACTCTTCCCCGCTGGTTCTGCATCTTGCATCTAGGTTACCCTCCAACCTCTGGTTTTGAACCTAAGCCAGTGGTCTGCTCTATTGTGCATTTGCCTGCTGCCCACCAAGTGTGCCTGGAAAACCAGATGCCCACTGGAGGGCCCTGCACATCTGTTCCTGTCGCCTAAGCGTGTGTATTGCACATCACCAGGCCTTGGTCCATCGTCACCCTGCTGCCACTTGTGCTCCAGCACCGAAGGTCTGCTCTGTGCCTTGACTTGGGATTCCTGCCTTCTGGAGTCTCCCGCTGAACTTGGTTCACCTGCTCTGCATTCGAAACTGTCCTATCTCTACAGTTGTGAGCCATTTCCTTGATACACACTTCTCTCTATGTATATGTATCTGTGTGTGGTAGGCGCTGTGGGTTAATGCACTGGACTGCAAAGTCCAATGTCTGCTGTTCAAGCTACCAACCGCTCCTCAGAAACCCTATACAGGGTTGCTATGGGTTGGAATCAACTCGACGGCACTTAACAACAACATACATAGTACTGGTTTTGTTTCTCTCAATAATCCAGCCTAAGACAGAAAGAAAAGACCAAAATGGATGTCAGAAGAGACTCTGAAACATGTTCTTTAGCATAGAGTAGCTAAAGCAACTAGAAGAAATGAAGTAATAGAGCTGAAAAGAAAATTTCAAAGGGCAGTTTGAGAAAGCAGAGTCAAGTTTTCTAATGAAATGTGCAAAAACCTGGAGTTAGAAAACCAAAAGAGAATCTACTCAGTATTTCTCAAGCTGAAAGAACTGAAGAAAAAATTCAAGCCTTGACTTGAAATAATTGAGAATTCTATGGGCAAAATAGTGAATGGTACAGGAAGTCTCAAAATAAGAGGGAAGGAAGGCAGAGATACTGTACCAAAAAGAATTGGTTGATGCTCAACCATTTCAAGAAGCAGAATATGATCAAGAACTGATGGTACTGAAGGAAGAAGTACAAACTGCACTGAAGGCATTGGTGAAAAGCAAGGCTCCAGGAATTGATGGAATACAAATTGAAATGATTCAACAAAGTGATGCAGTGCTAGACGCTCTCACTCATCTATGCCAAGAAATTTAGAAG